GTTAAGAAGTCATCATGATGGTTCGTGGGAAATGACAAGGAATCATTAAGGAACTAGAAGCTAGATGGAGAGTAAGGGGCCAGTCAGAGGATCATCCGGAGCTAGAGTTGGCACTATTGTATTTGAGGGAACTAGCAAAGTAGTATTGAGTTGGGCAAAAAGTTAGTTGGTTGGTTGTTTTTTTTTTCCATAAAATGGTTCTAGTAGCACTTAGTTGCCTTTAGCTTCATTTGAAACAATTTTGTTAGGTTGTATTGTGACAGATGTTATGTCGGTGTACATTTTTTAAAAAACATCAAAATTGGTGAATTGTGTGGCCATTTTAATACTGAAGATGGAAGAAAATATGCAATATTTTAGGCACATTATTCTTTATTATTTCAAGAAAGGTAAAAACACAACTGAAATAGAAAAAAAGATTTGTGCAGCGTATGGAGAAGGTGCTGTGACTGATTGAATGTGTCAAAAGTGGTTTGCGAAGTTTCGTGCTGGAGATTTCTCACTGGACAATGCTTCACGGTTGGGTAGGCCAGTTGAAATTGATAGCGATCAAATCAAGACATGAATTGAGAAAATTAATGTTATGTCATGTGGGAGATAGCCGACATACTCAAAATACCCAAATCAATAAAGTTATTGGTGAAAATGAAAAATGTGTCTTTTATTTAATGGGAAAAACCATATGGACTTTTTGGCCAACCCAATACAATGAGATACCACCTCATACCTGTCAGAATAGTTAGTGTCAAAAAGTCAACAAATAGCAAGTGTTGGTGAGGATGTGGAGAAAAGAGGATGCACTGTTGGTGGGATTTTAAATTGGTACACCAACTATGGAAAACAGTATGGAGAGTCGTCAAAAAAATAAAAATAGAACTGCCATATGATCTAGTGATTTCACTTCTGGGTAAATATCTAAAGAAAATGAAAACGCTAATTTGAAAAGATATGTGCACTCCTACTATGTTTATTGCAGCCTTGTTTATCAAGGTGTAGAATCAACACAGGAGTCCATCAATAGATGAATGGATAAAGAAGATGTGGCACATTATACAATGGAATATTACTCAGCCATAAAAAATGAAATATTGCCATTTGTAACAGTATGAATAGACCTAATGGGTATTATGCTAGGTGAAATGTCAGAGAGAGAAAGGCAAATACCTGTATGGTTTTCCCTGTATGTGAAATCTAAAAAAAAATAAATGAACAAACAAAACAAAAACGGATTCATACAAAAAGAACAAACTGATGATTGCCAGAGAGGAGGGGTTGCGGGGGGAGTGGATGTAAAGATTAAGGGAAATAAGAGGCACAAACTTCCCGTTATAAAATAAATAAGCCACAGAGATGTAGTGTATAGCATGGGGAATATAATCAATAATATTGTAATGACTTTGCACAGTGATGATGGTTACTAAACTTAGTGTGGTGACCACATCGTGAGGTATATAAATGTAAAATCACTATATTGTACACCTGACACTACTATGTTTGCCTACTTTATTGTAATACAAATATTTTAAATACTAAACACCAACTTGCCTGATTTAATAAGAGCAGACCAGAATCCAATTTGGCATCCAGGATATGTTTTTTGTGGAGCATAGAAACTTAAAATAACATACTTGAATTTTATGTTTTAAGACACTTTATAGTTTTCAAACTGCTTTTGTTTTATTATTTCATTTCGCATCATGAAATCTTTTCTTTCATCAACTTAGAATTTTGAAAAAAACAAAGGAAAGCAGTGTAGATGAAAACACAGCCAATCCCTAGCATAACTGAACTGGAACTTAGTTTTTATTACTAAACTTCAGCATGCATCCTACACTCAGACCCTGGTCTGCAAGAATACTTTTCCTTGGAATAACTGAGCCAAACAGATTAAGTTAATATAGTAAGAGAGAGGCTGTATCAGATTTTGTAAATGGCGCCTTTTGTGAATTGGGGAAAGACTTACTGGAAGAAAGTAAAAACCTTTCTCTTTAAGGAATAGAAAACATAAGAGTTGAGGACAAGGATGTGTAAAATCCTAACTTTAAATTTTTCTATTTTTAAAATTTCTTGAACTGATATGTTTATGATGAAATAAAAGTTGTATTTTTAAAGATGTAAACATCCATTTGAATTACTTTGATGCCAATAAAACAGCGGTTGCGAGAGGTCATTAGAAAGAAGCATCAACATCATCAGAGGCAATGATAGTAATCACTGCCGGTTCCTGAGAGCTGGCTGGGTGCTAAGTGCTTTGTGGCTGCTACTCTTCAATCCTTTAAGTCAGAGCTGCTCTTATATCAATCTTCCCTGAAAACTGTCAAACTTTGATCTGAAATTAGGGTACACTATATAATGTTTAGAAATAATATTGACACACAAATAGAAAACATTTTGAGAATGAGTTATATATTTAAGAATAACATTTCATAACCCCTGTACAAATATATATGAAGCACTTATATAGAAAATGAAAGTTTAAAAATAAACTATCATGTTTAATACATTGATATGTACACACATATATACATTTTTACAAGATGAAATAAACTTTATTTTAAAACTTTTAAATTTATAGAAAACTTCCAAAGATAGTACAGAATTCCCATACCCTTGCATCTAGAGTCTCCAATTATTAACAACTTAATTAGTATGCCACATTTTGTTCAATTAATGAACCGATATTAATAATGAGCTAACTTCCATATTTTACTCAGATTTCCTTAGTTTTTTTTTATTGATTGATCTTTCAGAGAGACAAGAAGGGAGAGAGAAATATCGATTTATTGTTCCATTTATTTAAGTTCTCATTGGTTGCTTATTATATGTACCCTGACTGGAAATAGAGCCCACAGCCAATTAGGATGACGTTCAAACCAACTGAGCTACTTGGCTGGGGCCCCTGGGTTTTTATCTAATGTTCTTATTCTGTTCCAGGATTCCATCCCGACATTATATTTAGCCATCATGTCTCTGGTCCCTCTTGGCTGTGACAGTTTCTCAGACTTTGCTTGTTTTGGATGTCCTTGACAGTTTTGAGGAGTACTGGTCAATTATTTTGTGGAACGTCCCTCAGTTAGGATGTCTTATTTTTTTCCCCCATGATTAGGCTGGGGTTATGTGTTTTGGGGAGGAAGACCACAGAAATAAAGTGCCATTTTCATCACATTATATCAAGGATACATACTTGATTACCTGGCTGAAATAGTGTATGTCAGTTTTGCACTCTAAAAAGACCTCCCTGCATTCTCTCCTTTTTCATACTTTTCTTTTTGAAGCACACAGCCCACACTTAAGGAGTGAGGTGCTGTATTTCACCTCCTTGAGGATGGCATGTTATTGGAAATTTTCCGCAGGAGGGATCTGACTATTCCTACTCCTTGCTCCCTCCATATATGTACTTAATCCTTTACTTATATCAGCATTGACTCATGGATAGTTATATCTTGTGTTATAATCCATACTTTGTTTGGTGTGCTTTCTTTATGCAATAAAATGTGGACAACTTTTGCCCTGACTGGTGTGGCTCAGTGGATTGAGCACTGGCCTGTGAACTGAAAGGTCCCCGATTTGATGCCGGTCAGGGCGTATGTTTGGGTATCGGACCAGGTCCCCAGTTCTGGCGGCCAATTGATCAATGATGTATCTCTCATACAGTGATGTTTCTGTCTTTTTCTCCCTCCATTTCCCTATCTCTAAAAGTAAATAAATAAAATAAAATAAATGTGGACAACTTTCAAAGTCAATGGAAGTGAACATGATCTTTTAGAGGTTATAAATAACATGCATTTAATCAATCCTCTACTGAGGCACATTTTTGCTTCCCTCGTTTCCTTACTTCCAACAATGATGGAATAACATCCTTGTACATTCACTTTTGGAGGGCACTGAGTGATGATTCTGAGTTTATTATTCTAACACTATCCCTAGGATACATTATACTTGCTTTCCTCAGCTTACACTATTTTCTCTATCTAGAATGCTCTTCCCCTATCTCTGCCTGCTGAAGTTTCCTCTGTGATTCAATGCTGAGCTCAAAAAGCTGCTTGCTGTGGAAAGTTTTCTCTAGTGTTTCAAATATAATGTAATGGTTGCATTCCACTTCTCTTTGTTGAACACGTATTAAAACATCACCTGAGCCTCCTATTCTATCCCAGGACTTTTTCCTACTAGTTCGTGAATGGGCAGAGGCAGAAATGTGATCATACTCATCTGCGTACTTGAACCATTCCCGTGGTGGGACATCAAATAACTATAGAATATTTTGACTTTGAAATGATGGGTCTGAGTAACTGAGAAATTTAGAAGTGTGCTCAATATTGGATAGCTAACTACTCTTCCTTTCTTTTTTTACATTGTTGTTCCATGCTTCAGAGAGACAGTAGTTGTATGTTGGTGTTAGCGTTTAAGTTTACAGCAAACAACTGTGCTGTAGTTTAACAGTAATATTTTCTAGCTGTCAAAAACGTTTATTTGAAGACTTTGGTATAATAGTCTGTGTCTTCCAAAATGAGCACCTTCAATTCATAGGAAATTGTATATGAATACGGGAGAAATGAATTAAATAAGCCTTCTGATCTTTCTGACTCCATTTTTAAGTAAGCAGGTGGCATGATGTTTCTTACATGTTTTAATTAGTAATTAGAGGTGAAAGCCAAAAAAACCCCAAAACAAAACAAAGAGACAACGTTTGGTTCTGAGGCTGTCCGTGAGCAGAGACTAAGGATCCCATCCTGCTGCCCTGTGGACCCACCAGCCTGTACCTAGGAGACGTGTCCCTTCCGTTAACACTGAGGCTGGGCGACCTACACTTCTGTGACCCCGCACCTTCACCGGCGCTCCGCCGAGGGGGCGGGGGGTGGGAGGGGGAAGGGAGGTGGGCCCCGCCTCCGTTCCTCGAAGCCCAATCGCTTGGAGAGGGTGGGCTTCGTTGCCGGCCACGCCCCCAGCCGGCGGGGGGCCGGGGGCGTCCTTAAGAGCCGGTCGCTGGGCAGCGTAGGGGTGCGGGGCTGTGGAGTGGGATCTCGAGCCCTGGACCATTAGGCTTCTGCCCGCAGCCTCTTTTCTCGAGGCAGCCTTTGCGCCTTGGGGCGCCCCGCACCCGGGGCTCCACAGCCCTCACTTCGGCCGCACTAGCTCGCCCTCAGGGCTCTGGGCAGCTTCTCCGGGAGCCCGCCGGGACCTCTCGACCCTCGCGCTCCCGTGGTGCTCAACAGGGTCCGCTGGGGCCATGGTGCCCTCCCCCGAGAAGCCCGGCCCTGCGCAGGGGACGAGCGAGACAGAGTCGCTCGGCCCCGCGCTTATGGGGGCTGCTCCGCCGCCCGGCGTGGGACCCTCAGGTGGTCCGGAGGCGGCCGCCGAGAATGTAGAGGTAGAGTTGGTGGGGCCGGCGGGCGCCGAGCCCCCTCAGCCTCCGGACGGCGGCTGGGGCTGGCTGGTGATGCTGGCGGCCATGTGGTGCAACGGGTCGGTGTTTGGCATCCAGAACGCCTGCGGGGTGCTCTTCGTCTCGATGCTGAATACGTTCGGGTCCGAGGACGATGACCAGATGGTCTTCAAGACAGGTGAGGCGCAACGCCCGCCGCGGCCAGCCGCGGGGGACAGGCGTGCCTCTCCGCCACGAACGCATTCCGCGTGCCAAGTGTGGGTCCACGTCCGCGTGTGCACCTCGGAGGGTCCCTGTGCGCCTAGGTGTATTGGGGTTGGGGTGGCGGGGGGGGGGCGCTCTGTGCTAAATACAGAAAGCGCAGGGGGTAGCCGATTAGGGATTGGGAAGAGGAATGCGAGAGGTGTTTTTTTTCCTGTTTTGTTTGTCATGCTTAACCATTTACCAAACTAGATTAAAAGGTAAGACTGAACATGCGGGGGGCGGGTGGTGGTGGTGGTTGTGCTGTAGAGCATACTTACGTGATCTCTATACTGATTAGGCATAAAACAAGTCCAAGACCTTTTGTACAACTCTTTTACCTACATTATTCACTCTATTCTGCGAGCCGGCGTGGTCAACTCCATTTAGGTCAGCAAACTGAGGATTGGTGAAATAAAGTGTCTTGGTGAGTAGCAGAGTGGAGATAGAATACACATCTTAGGACTTAAAGGGCCAAGTGATTTCCATTCCTCAATCAGACTCCCTCCCTGCCACTTGGGGAACTTTATATGATTAATTGTCTTTTTAAACTTGAATTCAAAAAATATTTTTCGAGTGAATATCCCTTAGGTCTTTAGTGTGCATATAATGAATATGTAAGACTGCTATAACAAATTCTAAGGCAGAGGTAATGTTGAGAGTTTTAAAACCTTATAAGTATCAATAGTATTACATGTGTCATTCTGCAGTTTGCTTTCTTTTACTGTGTTCTGTCTGCAATTTATCCATATAATACCTCAATTTGAGCTGGTAGCTTAAATTTTTTGTTTTAACTCGTTTTCCATTGTATGCTATATTATACTTTATGCAGAGTCCCTTTAATAGACATTTACATTATTTCCAAACTTACTATAAACAATGCTGCAATGAATAATTCTTGTATGTACACTGTCTCCTTGGGCATGTGTTAAATAAGGTACCATATTTACCCTGGAATTTCTGTTCCATAAATAGCTCTTGAAGCTGCTGTTATGCAGTTCACAGGGCTAGGTACAAAAGCGTTAAAAATATAATATCATATACTTACTTTGTAAGGAGGGCTACCATTAAAAAGTTTAGCAGGGTATATATGCATATGTAATAGTAAACAAATAATTTTGTGTCTTCTCTATGTGAGTATCAGGTATCTGGGAGGGAAAAGCTCAAGGAGGCTGAATTGACAGTTACCATTTTAAGACTAGTTCCTTCAGCATTTTGCACATTCTTGCCTGGAATTACAGATTTTTAATGCAGTCAAAACAAGACAACAGCTTTTCATATACTACTGTTTTTGCAAATTCAGGTAAGTTAATTCATTAGTGTCTGTGGGGGTTTTTTCCCCCTTCTTTCTCTCCTTCCTTCTTTTGAGATAGTGAGCAACTGCTGGAGAAAGACCATATGTAGCTTTGCTGGGTATCAGAGTTTTGCAGTGTTGAAGCCTCTACCCACAAGTTCCTATTGGCTACAGTATCCTGGTATTGGATAGCTTGAAGTGAAGGAGGGGACAGGACCAGCTCTCTTGAATTTTTTGAAACTCCTCCTTTTCATGAATATCCTTCTCCATTTACTCAGCTGATTCCTTGACAACTTGCAGTCATGTCGTAGGGTGTGTGTGTGTGTCACAGAAACAATTACACAGACATGCCAGTTAGATACTGAAGATCTTTGTGCTTTTCTGCATGACTGCCATGTTTCGCTGTGCCCTTGCACAGAGGTGCCCAACTCAAGATAAGGGGAGACAGAAACCCAGCCTGGGCTCTGGGTGCCCTTTATCTAATTCCTGCAAAGTGGCTTTAGGCATTTGTAATGACCCTGTATAACAGCAGCTTGATTGAATGTTGGCCTTTTTTTGGATGCTATGTAATACATTTACAACAGATGCATTTTAAAGTATGAGGAGGAAAATAGATTTAACCTTCTCTTTGAAAAAAAGGCGACAAGATAATTATTGGGCCAGTTAATATTGCGGTACCCCTCCACCCCCCAGAGGTGTTTCATAGAGCCCATCGTCTGTAATAGGCACTGAAGTATTCGAGAATAACTGCTTTGAAGTTTAGCTTTTCCACTAATGCTGAATCATCTGTGATCAAATGTATGCAAGATTAAATACGATGCAAAAAATATCTAGACTTTTTTAAAGCTTTTATTTTAAAAAGTTTTTGTTCATTCTCTCTTATCCTATCTGTGAACGATAATCCCAGCATTCGAGGGCAGTTAATTGTCTCCATGTTTTCATCAGCTTCTTCACAGTGATTAGTTCAAGGATACACAAGGAGGTTGTGGCAAAATGGGAACTCAGGTTTTCAAATGATGGTTCGTATTTCTTGAGAACTTCTTATTTGCCAGCCCATTGTTAAGCACTTTACCTGCATTCCTATTTAAACCTTACTGCAACCCCATGGGATAGGTTTTATTTGCTATCTTTCTTTTCAGATGTGCATACTCAGGTTTGCAGACCTTAAGTAAGCAGTGGAGCCAGGATTCAGACTCAAATTCATCTGATTCCAGAAGTTGGTTTTTTAACAATTGATCATATTGCATGGGCTGGATAATATTGAGCTACTCCAATGTTCTTTATGTTTTTGATTAATTTAAGCATTAGCAGTTGATTGAGTACTACACTAGGAATTCTAGGGTTAGAAAATAAATCTGAAAGGTTAGGGTCCCTGTTTCTTTTTTTTACCCCCAAAATAAAAACAAACAAACAAAACCCTCTATATAAATCCATTGGGAAAATAAAATATAAAAATAGCCACCTTTGCAAAGCCGCAGCCTTGATAAACGACTGGCCATAGACAGAGCACCGAGTTTATCCGCCCCAAATCCCCTAGTCTGTGCTGGAGCGGCTGCTTCAGCAGAGGTTCAGTTGGGTCAGACTTGGTTTCCTGATTCTTAATATCTGGTCAGGTAACTCAGTCCCAGGCAAACACAAAATGACCCGTCTTACACCATGAAGGGTTCTGTATTTTGTTTAGTTTTGTACTCATGACCTAACCTATCACTGAAGTATTCTGGGTTCTGGAATTTTTAAGATTCTTCTTGTTCTTCTGGCTGCTGAAAAGAAATCTGAAAGATCAGGGTCCCTGTTTCTTGATCTCACTGGGCTGTCAATAAACAATTGCCAATTGTTAATGTCTCATGGAAATAGGTTTTTTAAGTGTGGAGAAACAAGATCATTTCATATGGCATTCCATCCAAAGTCCAGGATTTTGAAGAACCACACTCCTTTCGTCTGATTCATAGCAGGACAGTGTTTCCAGGAAGAGCTGAAGAACAACCTTTCTCAGCCTCACTTCTATTTCATGGCTCTGTTAACTCTTAGGTAACTAGTGATCCACCCAAAATTTCTTAGGAAAAGCCCTGAAGAAATTTGTTCACACTGAGATATCAGTGAGTTTACACATCCTAATGTTACTCCTCATTCATTCTACAAGTGTCATTCATTACCAAGTATCTGACACCCTCTGTGCAGGCCACTGGAGATGGGAACTGAGAGAAAGAGCTATTCCCAGGGAGCTTTAGATCTGCTTTGGGACACAAACAAGTAAAAAGACAGATAAAATACTTTACTGAAGCATTTGCAATATACCAAGACCCAATCGTATTTTAAAAGGCTGAAACTCTTAAGGGAATTCCAGGGAATGGTGGGGGCTAGAAAAGGCATTTAATGGCCTCTTTCTATATGGTAATAAATCTCACTTTGTGAAATTAAGACTTTGGAAAGGGAATCAAACTGAACTACAAGTTAGGCAGTAGAAACAATGAAAACTGTTGAAGGCATCACAGCCCCGTCGTGGTAACGTGGCTACCAAAGATGTAGTGTTCAGAGATAGACCTTGCACATACTGCTGTGTCAGTTTTGTCCATAGAGGGAGCAGGCTGAGCTTGAGTTGTCTCTCTTAAGTTTTTACTTGTTCATATGTGCATGCTTCTTGCCTGTGTGGGAATCAGACACTTCTGGGAAAATTAAAACAGGTACTGCCATTAAGTGGAAAGTTGTTCTCCCTTAGAAACTGCAACTTTGCTTTAAGTTTGCTAGATACTCGAGAACTCATTTTTGGTTCCTTCATAGAACTGATAAATAGCGTAGGGTTTTTTTTTCATTTTCCTGATGCAGTACCCCAAACACGTTCTGGGATTTTACTAGAGTATTAAACTAGTTTACTTGTCTGCTTTCTTCCTGCAGGAAGAAAAATATTTTAATGGTATATGGACTTAAAAACATACCTATTTAAAACAGGTATGTTTTCAGAATCAGTATTTAGGGTAGTTAATGATATCCTTTTGAAGAAATTATGTCTTCGTGATCCAGAGGCTTGGTTAAGAAGACCCCTACTTCTTTTCTTTTAATAATTCCCCAGATGTGTTCTTTAATAACCTTTTTTTTTTTTTTTTTTTAATTAGAGGTCTGTGGTTAGATAGTGGGAAACACAGCACATTATCTTCCTCTCTTGGTTATTTATAGTAGAAAACAAGGTATTAAAAAATTCAATAGTTTTAAAGAGAAGTATACTGACTATCAAAATGATTTCAAAAGGGGGACTCTTTGGCAACAGTCTTGAAAGGAACTACTTTCCCTGTATGGAGGTAGATTGCTCTTTAAGATAGTTATAATCACAAAGTAGGATTCTCAGTTGCACTTACAGATGAATGCATCTTGAAACACCTCTCAATGTAGTCTTACTAATACCTCTGAAATTTCAAGTCAGTTAGTGCTTCCTGAAGGTTAAAAGAAAAGTTTTCACATTTACAGTTATGCTGATATCTACATATGGCATCTGTGTGCTATACCTTAATTCATAGGAGGTTTCGGCTATACTTTAGAACTGAACTGTCTGGTCTTTTTACTAAGGGATTTTTTTGGGGGGTGGGGAAGCTGCTTGTAAACTGATCATTTCTGTATCTGAGGAAAATTTTTTGGTAATGGTGGTTTGTACA